TAGTGGGAATTACTGCAAAATGGGTTTGGGATCTCTGTTCAATTTGTGGGGGGGGGTGGGTGTTGGTGGGTGTGGAGAGGGTTGAGTGCGTTGCACCATTGAAAATGCCGGCCTCCAGGCGAGATATGAAACCAAAGTCTCGCCTGCTTATTCTGAAGGAGGATGTTGCTGATCCCACGGGAACTCTTAACAAGAGAGAAGGGTGTTCCTCCTGGTGTCCTGGCCAACAATCCTCCTGATAAACTGATCATTTCCAGCTTGTGTGTGTTTGAAGGACCTCGCTGTGCGCCAGTTGGCTGCTGGGTTTGCTCACATACTTAAAAAGATATAGACCACACATGCTTGTCAACCTTCACCTAAATACTCTCCGGAATTAGGTAAGCAGGATACGTCCCTTCAGGGAGAGAGAGAGAGGCAGAAAGAAAGAATGAAAGAAAGAAAGAAAGAAAGAGCAAGCGAGCGGCATTCCATTCCAAAGACAGGGAAGTTTCCATGAACATAGTATTGCCATCTGGTTCGACGACTCTCACGCACAGCGACGAGTTTCCGCGTGAGTCGGACTCCCTGGCTGACCAAAGGATAAATCACAATCAAGGAAGTTTACAGCAGGGGCTGTCTCTGCCTCCTCTGATCGGCATCGTGCCCACGTTAGCCTATTGTGATCCTTTCTATCGACCGACAGAGTCATTGAGTTATATTCAGGCCAGCCTTTCCCACCTGTGTCACTTGCCTCTTCCCCNGCATTGCCTGGTGATTAACTGGACAACGACTGCAACTTGCCCACATCACGCCTTTCGCACGGGAGAGAAATGCTTTATAGAAAGGCGGCAGAAACCATAAGAGTCATTGCAAGAGTTTAGGAGAAAATAATAGTAATATTAATGATCCTTGCATTTGATATAGCACCCCATCACGGCATTGACGACATATTAAAATATATTGAAAAATAATTTATTAAAATGTATGTTGAGATCTATAATGAAATATATTGAAAAGACAGGTGAATAGGACTGGATGGATTGCTTTTCCGAGGAGCCAGCAACAACAACGTAAAAGCTCTTAAAAGACAGCACAGACACGATGGGCCAAATGGCCCTTTTCTGTGCTGCAAATGTCTAGAGTTCTGTGGTTTTTGTGTGTTGTGCACAAGGGCTTTGCGAAGTGCTCTGGCAGTTATGAGAACATAAGAATTTGCTCGGCGAAAGAAGTCCATCTAGTTCGTCTTCCACCATCCTGGCAGTCGCTTGACATGCCGTGTGCCAAACTATACACTGTATCCCCAGATATTATTTTCTCCTTCACCCTCAGCAACCTCCTCCCAGCTGCTTGGCTGTTACGATGCTCACTCATGCAGTGTAAGGTCCCGTCATGCTTTCATTCTCCTTAAATCTCCACCGAGGGAATGGCTTTAATTATTTCAGGATTCTGCGTTGATCCTGGAGTTGCTAAGCTTCCTTTTTTTGCCGCTCAAGCTTTCCGGAGATTTCTACCTCGCTGCTCCAACTCGATTGAACTCTTTCCGCGACCATTGGGGAGCTCAGGACAGAACATGTGGGTAGAGTTCTGTTCTTTAACCCACCTCAGAAAACAAGGCCAAACAGGTAGGGTAACGCATGATAAGGGAAGGTTAATCACTGAAGCAACAAATTAATTCCGTCAAATTGATCAACTTGTCATTCACTCCTCGGCTGTTTGCTGGGCGTCGCTGTGAACAAATCGCCCGACTTATAAATACAAATACAATCACTACGCTTTAGAGGGAAGTGCTTTGAGATGTCCTCCCGATGTGATAAGGGGCTCTATCATATGGAAGGATTATTAAGGATTAGTTTTCATACATTGTGCACTGTGTTTATTTCAAAAGAGGGACTCTAGGTCCAGGTAAGATGTAAGTCAAGTAAAGAGCCTCTTGAACTCTATTTCAGCTCAAGGCTGAGGATAGGACAGGGATGAAAAGTGACAGTTCGTCGGGTTCGGGCCGTTCTGCACGAGGATCACACTTTCTCAGGGATTTCTTGAAGACGGCCAATCCAAACACCCACCCGGGAGGCGAAAGTTGTCAGGGAACGATAACCAAACCAGGCTGCCCCGCCCTGCCCAGCTGAATCATTCAACAGGCGAGCAAATGATTCACTAAAAGCTTTAGATTTCAATGAGTCAACCATTCAAGAGAAGGTGTGTGGTTGCATGAGATTCCTGAATAAGGCATTTCTCACGTTCTCTGGCGCAGATGACAGCAAATTACATTTGTACAGTGCCTTTGGGCCCTGGGGTTGGTTGTAAAGGGAGCTGGGGTCGTTGCTCTTGAGACCAGTAATAAATGGAATTGGCAGCCGTGTTTCGCCCGCAAAAGTACAGTCAATTCACTTTACAGTATATTCTGTGAAGTGCTTTGAGACGTCTCAACGACGTGATAAGGCATTAAATAAAATGCAAGAATTATTATTATTATAATCTTTGAAGTTCTTTTCTCTGTGGGTTTACTCTTGTTTGATGGAAGTTCTCTGCTATTGGAATTGTGTCATTTGCAGTGCCGAGCCTGATCCTTAGTTTGGGATACTGACAGACCAATACAATTTCAGCCTGTTCTTTTTTTTTCCCTCTGCGTTCATCAGGGAGAAGAACGTTAGAGTTTATTTTGGAGGGGGTGAAATTCAATTAGAGGAATCAAATTAGAACTGGATTAGATTACTACTACAATCCTTGCATTTGACATAACCCCTTTCACATCAGGAGGATGTCCCAAAGCGTTACACAAGATTAACAGTGAGGTGTAATGACTGTGTGTTTTTTGTGGGCAAAAGTGGAAGCCAACTTGCGCCCAGCGATGTCCCGCAAAGAGCCAAGTAATGAATGACCCACGCTCAGTCCTACCCCCCCTTTGTTGGACTGATAGCTGTTGGGCAAAAACTTTAACTGGTGAAGAATGGAATAATAGACTATAATCTCTATCCCTTCCTCTCCGGCTGTTCAGGACAAACCAAATCTTCACTGAGATTATTTTGGCCACTCTCTCCATTCAGTTCCCGAAAGGCAGGAGTTTGGTACGTTGGCAACCGCCGAGAGCCTTGTAACCTGCTTTACGGAACTGGCTTGAAATCCGCATGCCTTTGGCAATCTCGTGCACAGAGGCTGTGGAGACAGAATGTGCGGCAGATGATAGTGGCGCACAGGTGCAGCGGGAGATGCTTCCCCCGAGGCTGTGTGTGTGACTCAGACACTACAGCTGAACCTGACTCGCTTTGTACATTTGTCACCCGGTCACACTGCTGGGTGCAAGGAGACATGGTACAAGGAATCTTGTGTCAGGACATGGGATGGCCTCCAGGACTTGGCATCACAAGATCTAAGCTGACGCTCCAATGCAGCGCCGGGGGGATGTGATGCATTGTCGGAGGTGCTGTCCTTCAGATGAGACGTTAAGCCCAGGTCCCTTTTGCCTGTTCAGGTGGACGTTAAAGATCCCATGGCACTACTTGAAAAGAGAAGCGAGTTTCTCTCTCCCGGTGTCCAGGCCAACAAACCCCGCAAACAAAATTGGCCGCTCGCTCCATTACTGTTTGTGGGACGTTGCTGTGCGCAATTGTGCTGCTGGGTTTTGGCCACGAAATACACAGTCGAACCACTTTACACTATATCTTGTGAACCGCTTTGCGACGTCTCAACGACATGATAAGGCACTGTATCAAATGCAGCCGGAGGCCTGAGGGCATGATATAAGGCTCTCTTCAGTTGCCAATGTACCTAGCTATGGAGGACCTTCATTGCTATGGCGATTACAATTCAACCCAGAACTGTGCTCTCACCAGAGACTAGATTTGCGCTGTATTTTCTGCATCTAAAATCCAGGCTGATTTATGGTGTCGTTTTATTTGAGGCCACAGGGTGGCACCATTGGGCTGCACTTTCTGCACAAATGCCGACCAAGTTGGTCCAACAAGCAACAGCGAACAGAACATGTCACAGGGGGATGTCTCACAGCGCTTCACAGGATTTTCTGTAAAGTGTAGTGATTGGGTGTTCCTAGGCAATTTTGCACACAGCCATATCCCTCCAATAGCCATGCAGTGATTGACTAATCGGGGTGTGGGGGTTGGGGACGGGGGTGGAGATGGGGGATTGTTGGTCAAGACACCGGGAGAAATTTCCTTCTCTTTTCAAACAGTGCTCCACAGGGATCTTTAATGTCCACCTGAATAAGCACAGACTGGACCTCAGAGCCTAAAGACAGTGCCTTAAACAATGCAGCGCTGCCCAGGACTCCACTGGAGCAGTCGGCCTCCAGACTGAGCTCAAATTCTCCACGTGGGGCTAGAACCCATAACCTTCTAACTTAGAGATGAGTGCGCTACTGACTGAGCCAGGCTGTCACCTAAATAACTGTCTATAGCCCCTGCCCGAGAATCAAACCCAGGTCCTCTCTTGCGAGGCGAGCGCACTGCTACGGACCTCCATAAGTTTCGGACATGAGTAAACGTGAACGCAACTCAGACTGCAGTAGAAAAAGAAGCACATTTTTCAGGCAAATCAGAAGCTAAACTTTATTTGTTTTTTGTTTCTTAACTTAAAATACAAGAGAGAGAGGGAGGGAAGGAGGGAGGGAGCGAGGGAGGGAGAGAAGGGGAGAGGGAGAAGGTACAAGTCAGGCCAAGTTCCAGGAGAAAGCTTGGAGCCTGGTCACGTCCAGAGGACAAGGTTGTCTCTCTCTCTTTGGGGCTCCAGGAGCCGGTCAGTCAGTCGGTCCAGTCGGTGTGGTCGTTCGTTTTAAAAGCGAAGAGACAACATGAAACCGAGATAAATATAGAGACGGGAATAAATATTTACCCGAGGTTAAGATAGAAGACACGTTAGCTGGTCAGTTTTCAGCGGGGCCGTTAAACATTTAATTCAACGTGATTGGGGTTTGGGGCGATAGAGGTGGGGGAGATGGGAGAAGGGGAGGGAATCGTTTTGTGTTTGTGTGGGGGAGGGACGGTGGTGGGGGTTTAATAAAAAAAAAACATCGTCCCAGGGACAGGGACTGCCTTGTTGTTGGGAATGAACGCTGCTCAGTGCCAGCGATTGGCATGTCTGTTAGTTACAGTAGCCCTCGAGGTTCACCAGGGAGCACGTGTTATGGCAGCATTGCTCGACGATTCCTCGCTTCATTTTACTCCCAGCCAACTGCTGCCGGTGGGGAAACCTGTCCTCCATCTCAGTATCCAGCGGGGGCTCTAGGTCTCGGAATGCTGGAATAGCAGAATTTCCCACAGAGTCAGTCACTTCCAGAGACACCCCTCCACCATACACACGCCCACAAATACACACTCACACACACACACTACACACCAAATACACAATCCCCTGCACCAAACACAACTTTTGGCAAAATTGTCTGCCTCGTTTGCCTGTAAAATGCACTTGACACTTGACAGTAAATCATGCGAAGTCACACTGAGACGTTTTGTTGACATGAGTAGATGCTGTATCATGTACAACCATTATTAGTAGGTTCTACTTCCCGCATCACTGCACACCATCAGGGAAAGGCACATGAACTCCACTCGAGACGTCTTACTGTGTAAATGGGAGTTGCCGCCCTTATCAATTGATATCGCGCTTGCCCTTCAGCGCTTGATAACTCACCCGAAAGCGGCCCCACGTCCCTTATCTGTTTGGGTGAGTAGAAGAAGCCCCTTTCTCCGCACACAAAGTACAGAGCGTCCACCAGGTGAGAGCCACAGAGGCGTTGGGTTGGTACTGTCTCGGACGGCTTCGGGCCGGAGAGAGCCATCAACAGAGCCACGAACCCAAAGCGATTCCAGAGCATCATCTCAGCGCTTCGCAGACAAAAAGCTTACCTGGGGGAACACGAAGAGGAGAGGTTTACTATCAGTTCTTCGAGACGTCTCAAAGCGTTTCACAGAACATACTGTGAAGTGGAGCTACTGTATCTATTTTTGTGGGCAATCAATTGCGCGCAGCAGTGTCCCACAAACAGTCGTGGATTGAGTGACCAAATTATCATTATTATTATTATTCAATTTATTCTTCTCAAAGGGATTGTTACACCTGGAAAAGCGATCCGCCAATTGACTAACAAGCGGTTCCTACGTACTGCTAGGTAAAACAGAGGCATGTGGAGTAAGAAAAATTGCCGAAGGTTTCGCTCTGCCTGGGAATTGAATCCAGGTCCTCTCGCTTGCGAGGCGAATGCTCTAACTGCTATGCTGCAGGTTTTGTTTCCAAGATTAGCAGATACTTACAGGAAACATTTCAAAAGACAACAACAACTTGGACCTCCAGTGGTGGGGTGGAGGGTGTGAGGGACGAGCAAGAGGCCGGTGCCAGTCGAGCAGAGGCGCCGGGTGGCGGATTGGGGAGTGAGGAGGTCGGAAAGGTCGGGAGGTGTCAGGGAGTGAAGGGATTTGAACACGAGAGTGAGGATCTTGAAGTCGATCGGTTTGGTGATGGGGAGGTAGTGGAGCCTGGGCCAGAACTGGTGAGATGTGGGTATGGAATTTGGTCCGGGTCGGTATGTGGGCGGCAGAGTTCTGAATGAGCTGGATCTTTTGAATAGTGGAGCTGGGGAGACCGGCGAGGAGTGCGGTGGAGTACTCCAGGCAGAAGGTGACAAACACATGCACCAGGGTTTTAGGCTGCATTCGGGGAGAGGTGCGGGCGGAGGCGGGCAATGTGGCGGAGGTGGAAGAAGGTGGTCCTGGTCGGGGATCGGATGTGGGGAAGGAAGGACAGCTGGGGGTCGAACCGTATGCCTAGTTTGCGCACTGGCTCGCTGAGTCTGAGGGAGAGCCCAGGGAGGCTGAGGAGTTTAGATCTGCAGGAGTGAAGACATTGATGGGAGCCAAGAAGTATGGCTTCCGACTTGTCCACATTCAGCTGCAGGAAGTTTGCACTCATCCAGGCCCTGATGTCTGCCAGACACGCTGATGGAACATCAGGGGACCTGGAGTTGGTACTGGAGGAGGCAAAGTAGATTTGTGTGTCAGCTGCATACATGTGGAAGTTTACACCGTGTCTGCGGATGACATCGCCCAGAGGAAGCATATAAATAAGAAAAAGAGGAGGACCTCTTAAATGTCGAGATAAAAGTCTTGTCAGACAGTCTTACCTGGTAGATGTTTCTTCAAACCAGTACAGGGTGCTAACCTTTGCCTGTCAAAGCTGTGAATGTGTGAGGCACCTTGCTAGCACCTTCAATTTATACACCGGGTGTTTTTTTTTGGAACAACTTAACAAATAAATATTCCATAATTGACATCTGCAGCATCTGCAGCCTTATTCCTTGCGAAGATTCTTGCTGTCTCTGCACATTAGGGTTCATAGCGACATTGTTTGCATCTCATTTAACAAATCGTGCCCCTTGCCGCTGTTTGCTCTGGCAATCTCACGCCTCATTTGTACCGTGTGCTCGGAGCCGTTCATCAAACACGCTGGTCGCACTCTCAAGTGGGAATCAGAGCCTTGTTGCACAAACTGACCCACAGCTCAGGCCAATCCTTTGTTGGTCCATTAGCAGAGATTAGAGGCCTATAGATGAGCACTAGTGGTTTCATTAATGGTCTGTTTCTCTTTAGTTCACTGGATTTAATCACAGAGCAAGAGGTGTGAGGGCTTTAACACATTCCTTTCCTGTTGCCCTGTTCAATAGTTGCTCCATCAGGTTGTTGGCCAGAGCTGTGCTGACGTGAGGACAGTTTAGCCTTAGCGTCACAGCGATGTCCGCTGTCACTAATTCCTGCTGATTTCTTTTTTCCAGGCCTGAACGAATGATTAATGGCGCACTCTCTTTTTCCCTTCTCTTCGTCTATTCTTACCTTCGTCTCATCCTTCGTTGTCTGTTTTCTACCCAGTTCACTGAGAGCGAAATTAACGCGTTGGTAAAACAGGTCACCTCGCACTTTTTTTTATTTCCCCTCTACCCCCCAATCCCTACTCTGAAAAAAATAATTAATTTTCATATTTCCCGCTCATTGAGACCCAAATTGCAATTTCCAAAGGGTGACTCATGGAATGTTACACAGCACGGAAACAGGGTACTTGGCCCATCGAGTCCCCGATGGTGGTTTGATTTTCTCTACATCCGCGCTCCTGATCATTTCCCCACAACTTTCTGGTCAATATTCCTTTTCCTAAAGCGTCTGACTAATTCCCTTCCAATAGAAAGAAAAACTTGTGGCCCCTACCTCAGCAACGGTTTGTGAACGAGAGCTCCGCATTTCACCCAACCCACCCCTCCAAGTTTTATTTCCCTTCTCCTCCTCTTTAATTCCTCGCAGCAGCTACACAGAGATCTCGATTCCTCACACGAATAGTGGGGAGGATGGTATGGGGGATTTGTCCCAAAGTAAAAAAAACAAACTCTTCCCCAGTGATAAGAACAATCATTGATTTATTTTTGGCCACTTGATTAGATCATGGGTCCTTCAATTCCTTTTCCATGTGCTTCTCCTTAATCTCCATCCTTAATCTCCAAGTATCTATCTATCTATCTATCTATCTATCTATCTATCTATCTATCTATCTATCTATCTATCTATCTATCTATCTATCTATCTATCTATCTATCTATCTATCTATCTATTAATAATAATATTTCCTGCATTTGATATAGCGACTTATCACGTTGTTGAGACATCTCAAAGTGCTTCACAGTATATACTGAAAAGTGACTGTATATTTTGTGGTTGAAATGCAGCAGTCAATTGTGCACCCAGTTTTCCACAAAGTCACTATTGAGTGACGAAATTATTATCATTTATTTATTTCATTTTTTCAAATGGATTATTACCCTCATAAAGCAATCTGTCAATCAACTAACAACCGTGTTTCTACTTACTGCTAGGTAAACAGAGGCGTGCGGAGTAAGGAAATGTCTTTCAAACATCCCAATTGATTCATATACAGCCTTGTTGGGGGAAATCCATCATTTGCATTGCGTGTAAGAAAGGCTTTCTGATCTCACTTGAATGTGGGTGGAACGTGCCTTTGGTCAAGTTTATTGGTTAAGTTTTCCTTCCATTCAACTTCCACCTGTGGCTCATTGGCTCCTCTCCCTCTGGTTAAGGTGTGCTTGAAATTGGATCATTGATTGCCAGGCTGCACAAACTGTGGTATGGTAGAAGTTTCGACACAGAAGGAGACCAATGGAAGGGTGCCTATGCCTGGCTAACTTTCCATTCGGATGTACGTGTGTGTGTGTATCTTCTGTGTGTTTGGTGGGCAAATGTGGCAGCCAAGTTGCACGCAACAATGTTCCTCAAAAACAGCCGTGGAACGAATAAGCAGTTTTATGTCCACAGCTGGGATTGTTCGCCAGGACCCTGGGATAAACTCTTCTCTTTACGACTAGCACCACGGGATCCATATGATCCAACTGAATGGGCAAGCAGGCGCCACTGCGGTTTAACATCCATTACAAAGCACGGCATCTCCCACAATCTCAGTCTAGAGTTCAAAGTCTCGAAGTGCGGCTTCAACCCACAACCTTCTGACTCACTGACTCAGAGGGGAGAGTGTGCTACTCACTGAGCCAGGCTCGTAGGAATGAGGTTAGATGTTGAATCCAACCCATGTGACTGGGTCATTGGGTTGTCCTCTGAGCTGGGTCAAGGCCTCCAGGTTTAATCCACTTTCCGTAGTGGGCGTGAGACCATAAGCAGAAAACGAGCCACAAATTGGAAGTAAATTGACAGTCTCGCTCCCAAGAAGCCAGAAAGGATGACTGGTGTGGTCAGCCCAAATCCTTCAGCATGGTTCAATGAAGGCTGCTTTTCTGAGGTTGGCATTGATGAGTAGTGTTGTGGCGCAATAACGGGACATTTACTCAGCATCGCTGGCCTACTTTATCTGTACCCCTCCCTGTATCTAATTCAAAGCTCGTTACATGGTTTCTCACTCTGACTCACTCACAGGACCTCAAGACTGTGGAACCCATTATCTCCCTCTCTTATTCTTTCCTCCTCCTACATGCTCCGAACTTTAAATAAAAACACCGAACAATTTGTGTGTCAGCCTGACTCAGTCGGTAGCACTCTCACCTTTGAGTCAGAGATTTGTGGGTTCAAGTTCAAGACCACGTTGAACTCACGTGGTCTAGACTGAGACTGAGGGAGAGTTGCATTGTCAGCGGTGCCATCCTTCGGATGAGATGTTAACCCAAGGTCCCGTCTACCTGTTCAGGTGCACATTAAAGATGCCCTGGCAGAACTTGAAAACAAGAGGGGAGTTTCTCTCTCGGGGTGTCCTGGCCGACAATCTCCCAAATGGAATTGTTCATTTGTTCAACACACCCTGAGAAGCACTTTGAGATGTCCTCCTGGGGTAAAAATGCTGCATTGAATGAAAGGATTTTAAAATAAAATTTTGTTCTTTCATATTTTTGTCAACCCCTCATCGAGGTGACCTGTGTAGACTCCAGCTTCCAAGTAAACCAGCCACAAATTGCCCCTTGATAAATATACATTGATTGTGTCCTGCTTGTTTTTCCTCGTCAATCCTCTAGATTAATGGGTCGTTCGCCTCATGGCTGTTTGGGTGACTGTTGTCAGAACACTTGGGTGTAATTACTGTAAAGTGCTTTGAACCAATGATGTATAAAACGCTGTAAAATCCAGCTACTTTCTCTCCTTCTTAGCATGACCAGCATAATGTAACTCAAGTGGACGTTAAAGATCCTGTGGCGTCATTCAAAAGAGAAGAGAGTTGACTACAAATCACAGTCACTACACTTGATAGTAATTCCCTGTGAAACACTAGCACCTCCCTGTCACCTACTCCTATTCCAACTCTCCTCGGCTCACCTGCTCCACTTGACTAGGTCGGGCCTGCTACCGCAACCCCCCACCAACCCTCAACTCCCCCGCCCACCCCTCGCCACCATCAGTGTCCGAGCTTTCAGGCTATGATGCCATCTGAACCCCTTCATTTAAATGACTCCCACACATCTCTCACTGGCCATATAATTTGTTACGTGTTCCTTTGTTTTGTTTGGTTCTTGTTTGTGAGTTGAGTCAGTCCAGGATTATTTTAAATTGTGCGTCATTGGTGAGGTTTCACACAAACTCCCAAGAAAGTGTTTTGGAATGAAGGAGGCACTTCAAATATATCATCCGTTACATTATATTATATTACATTCATTCTCTATTACAGTGCCAGATATGTCCATAGTTCTAATTCCATTAGTAAAGTGAGCTGGTTAGAGATCAATCCTCGGCTGAAAATATTGTCTATGATAAAAGCTATGAAATATGGACTTTAATATTAATAATAATCCTTGCATTTGATATAGTGCCTAATCACATCTTCGAGGCATCTCAAAGCACTTCACAGAATATACCGAATATTTTATGGGCGAAACACGGCAGCTAATTGTGCACAGTGGTGTCCCACAAACAGTTGTGGATTGAGTGACCAAATTTTTTTTTTTAAAAAAGGGATTATTAGCTCCGGAAAAGCTATCTGTCAATCGACAAACAAACTGATTCCTCCCACTAGGTGAACAGCGGCATGTGGAGTTAGCTTGCCCATTGTTTCACCCTCCCAGGAATTGAACCCAGCTCCTCTCGCTTGTGAGGCGAGTGCTCTAACCACTAAGCTTCAGGACTCCTTTAAATGTAGTTCTAACCCTAGCTATCAGCCTGGCTGTCGCCCTGGTTCAGTCTGTGGGTTCATGAGATGACTTTGAGCTCACGGTCTCGGCTGACTGTACAGTGCAGAGCTGGGGGTGCACTGGATTGTCAAAAGTGCCATCCGTCTGATGAGACGTCAAACCAATGTCCCATCTGTGCCTATTCAGGTGGATGTTAAAGATCCCAGGACTCTATTAGATAAAATTGGCCATTCAGTTTGTGTGCGTTATGTGGGACACTGCTGTTTGCAAATTGACTGCCACGTTCAGCCACAATACACAGTAAGTAAAAACTTTGTGAGGCACTTTGAACCATATCGACGTAATAAGGAGCTATGTCAATTGCAAGGGTTATTCAAGATTCCTAGATACAACAACAACTCGATAGGAAAATGAGGTAACACAAAGTGGTTGCTAAGGGCAGACACAGTCTTTTTCCTGGGGTTCGCCGAGAAAATTGAACTGTTCGCCACGGCATTTCATTTTGTAAATGAAACCTTGTTCGCTTGTTCACAAATAATTGTGCACATCTGTATTACGGCAGCAATGAGTCTATTGTTCATAATCACTATTAGCACAAGGGCACGACTTTTTTTTCCTGGAAGCCATTCATGCAGAGCTCCATTGACGTTGGATGACGATATCTCTCTATGCCCACTGTTTTTTTGACATTCAGACATAATCCAGCAGGCACAGCTGTACCTTCGTTTGTGGGCACACGAGGGCAGCAGCGAGAACGTCACTGAGCGATAGTTGTTTTTTTTGGTCAGCCGGGTGTCTGACACGCACGGAAACCCATCACCGTGTTCAAGACTCTCCAAACCAGACTGAGAATTCCATGCACCCCACCTACACATGGAAATCCCAGAGATAGATTGTTGGAATGGAATGCTCTCTCTCTCCCCTCTCTCTCTCTCTCTCTCCCTGGAGCGACGCATCCTACTTACCTAATTCCGGAAAGTATTAGGTGCAGGTTGGCAACAATCAAGGCTTGGGAACCCCCAAAAAAAGTGTGTGTTGGGGTAACTGCTGGAGTCTGACCAGCGAAAACAACATAGCTTGCCATTGATATCACTGTCTGGCAAGCTTTTCCATTGCTTGTCCAGCTGGAACCACCCTACCCGTTAGGGCTTTGGCTTGCAGGGTTAACAGGAGCTAAGTGGGACGACTCGCGGCCCCAGTGACTGGTCTGCCCTTTCCAGGTCCTGTCGCTGAGCCAGGCTGGTCTGGGCTGTGTTGTCATCAGCCGTGCCCTGGAATTAACATCAGCGTTACTTAGTCTTGGAGGCTATGAACACAACCCTTGATGTTGGCTCCCTCCAGTGGCACTCGGAGGCACAGTATAAAACATTACGGTGTTGTCCAAAAACACATTTGCTCTCTGGTACAGAACCATAAGGAGGGGCTTGCCAGTTTAAGGTGAGGCCACCGTCCGAATAAACCTCATCCGAGCGGAGGAATGTGACACGCTTTCCGTTAAACATCCCAAAACCGTAGCAAATGACGCGTTGCTTGCCTTAAATAATCATGCTCAAATCGTACAGGAAAAGTTCAATAATTTTATCAAACTTTTATCTGATTGATACAGCATTCACCTTGCAGGGGAGGTAAGCAGCATCTTCTGGGGCTGACGGGCCAACCGGCCTCGTTTGCTGGCAGGACATTGAGGGGCAGACCAGTCACTGGGAGCAGGAATTCTTCCCACTCGGCTCTTGTTCAACCTCCAAGCCAAAGCAGACGAGTGATCCGAGCTGGACAAGCAGTGGGTAGTTTTAGAATGGAATATTGTAGGATTCTAGACCGTTAAGCGCCAGTGGTTACCCCAACTCACACATTGGGATCATCAACAATTGGGTTTTATCAACCTGCACCCAATTTATTTTCAGTATTAGGCAAGAAGGGTGCATCCCTTCGGGAGAGAGTGTGCACTCCATAACAGACGAACGGAAATTTCCACGCATGTGTGGAGCACTCACTCAAGCACTCACTCAAGCAAGTGAACATTCTTCCTGTGTGTGCAGGGCATACAGTGTTGTGGGTGCCATATTCTGTGATGAATTATATTCACAGTCAAACCCAGTCCTGTCGTCAATTAAAAGCCACCTTCTCACCAGGAGGTGAGGGGAGGGCGAGGAGGGGGCAATCACTGGATAACAATCAGAAACTGGAATCATGGTTAACATTCCCCCTACCTTATCCCAGGTACTGTTAAGCAAATGATTTTCTCCCCATCCCTCGCCAGTGCTTCTTGCCTAAGATGAGCTAACTCGACACAGAGCAAGCATCAAACCCATCTCCCCGCTGGTCTGAACACAAGCTCCACATCAGCTCATCCTTTACCAACCAAGACATGAAGACAACAGTTTTGGTAATGTTACTGTGAATGATTAGAATTTGATTCGATAAAATCCGAGACCGTCTCAAAGCTCTTCTCAATGTAGTGACTGTGTATTTGTGGGTGAACGCAGCAGCCAATTTGTGCACAGCGACGTCCTTCAAATAGTCGTGACGTGAATGATCAATTTCATCTGGGGGTTTGTCGGCCAGGACACCGGAAAAAGAGAAACTCCCTTCTCTTTTTGAGTAGCGCCGTGGGTCTGTGCCCTTAACAGGTTTAATGTCTCCTCCAAAAGAAAGAGAGGTAGATGTATTAGGGAATGTGGAGAAAAGGCTCCAAGTCCTGGGTAAAATTACGCAGAAAGTTACGACACAGGACCAGGCCATTTGGCCCAACTAGTCCGTGCTGGTTTGTATACTCCACACTGTCCCCCACCCCACCCATCGCAAGTCCACAAACATAACACGTACAAAATGACTGCTTGTCTCCCCCCTCAGCAAATGCAATATTTATTACACAAAGACGCCCGGAACACCGTTACAGCCCAATTACAGAAGATTCTGTTAACGCACAAGAAAGTGGACATTGCTGAGTAAGACAGGAGGCTGGCAGGTGGAACAGGACTGAACACAGAGACTGACCGAGACGGCACTGCACAGGGGAAAGGCCTGCTCTGTGTTGAGAGATTCTATCTCACTCACAACACACACACACACTTTCACACATAATACTCAATTATACGCACACTCACACTCTCACATCTTTTCTCACACCCGCACTCGCTCTCACACACACTCGCTCTCACACCCGCACTCGCTCTCACACACATAACACTCAATTGCACACACACGCTCATCACACTGTCTCTCACAAACACACTCACTCTCTCACACACACAACACTCAATTACATACAGACTCACACCCAAACACACTCACACATTACACTCGATTACACACACACATTCTCACACACAATACACACGTACACACACTCACATACACCCACTCTCACACGGGTGCACACACACACACTATCATAGACTCACACACACACACTCACTCACTCAAAATCTCCCATTCCTCCCAGGTTGATTGGCAAAGCTGGCAACATGAGATGGACAGAGCGAAGGAATAAACGGACAGAAAGACAGGCTGGATTGGAGAGGGAGACAGGCCGGGCAGACAGGGAGACAGGCCGGGATCTGCGCCAAGCCGGACATTAGGATATTATGTCCAGCGCATCGGTCAGGATCTTCAGGTCGTCTTTCAGGGTGTCCAGCGACTGCCTGATTTTCTGCGGGTTGTCCAGCACCTCTATGCTGTGGGTGTAGGGGTCGTACTTCACTGAGAATGGTCGCTTAATGCTTGCTGCGTATGTCCTACACACAGAGGGGAAGGAATGGGATCAGAAACGTCACCCCATTTTTATTCCGATAAAATACAATTCAAAATTGCATCGTACAGTACCTTTCACATCAGGAGGATGTCCCAAGGCACTGGACAGTCAAGGATTTGGACCCGAGCTGGTGAGTTGGGCTCAGGGAGGGTAGGAGGGTGGCCAAAGGAGCGATCGAAGAGGAGGGTTTTGAGATCAGGAAACTAGAGAATTATAATTGTGCTTTAACATGGTGGGGGGGGGGGGGGGGAAGAAACATCATTGGGGTATTCCCAAAGGCTCTAATTATTGTCAGCCATCGGCACCTCCAATAATGCAGCACTGCCCCACACTGGAGCACCAGCTCAACATGAGGGACTTGAACCCACAAACTTCTGACTCGCAGGTGAGAGAGTGAGCAGGGCTTCGGGTGGTCCACAAGAGAGAAACGGGTGGTAAGTAATGGCTTACTGTCCGCAACACGCGATAAGTAATCCACAACAACAAATTACATTTGTGTCGGGCCTTTCATGTCAGGAGGACGTCCAAAGGCACTGATCAGTTAGTAATCGGTGTGTAATGTGTTAGCAATCGGTATGTAATCAGTCAGTAATCAGTTAGCAATGAGTATATAATTTGTTGGCCATCGATTAGTACTCACTTAGTAATCGGTATATAATTGGTTGGTAATCGGTTAATAATCAGTTAGTAATGAGTATATAATTGGTTAGCAATCATTCAGCAAGGAGTATATCATTGGTTAGTAATCGGTTAGTAATCAGTTAGTAATAAGCATGTAATTGGTTAGTAAGGAGTATGTCATTGGTTAGTAATCCGTTAGTAAGGAGTATATAATTGGTAAGGAATTTAATTGGTTAGTAAGGAGTTTAATTGGTCAGTAAGGAGTTTAATTGGTCAGTAAGGAGTTTAATTGGTTAGTAAGGAGTATATCATTGGTTAGTGCTGAGTAGCTGACATGGTGCTGGCCTGACACAGTCTCTCACCTGAGCTTCTCCTTGGCGTTGTTGAAACTCTCTGACACAAAGTACACGGGCTGGTAGGTCTGGTCCTGGTACGGCTGCACAGCTGCCACATCCGGCTCAAACTCCCGTAACTCCGGCTCGTCAGAGAGAGCGTGCTGCTCCCCTCATGGGGGTGGGGAGGAAGAGAGACAGAGGGGGTAAAAGAGAGAGATGGGGAGAGACAGAATGGGGGGGATGAGAGAGAGAGAGAGGGGGATGGAAAGAGGAGTGAGAAGTTACTAACATCTGTCTATTCGGGTGGTTGTTAGAAATCCTATGGCGCTATTGGAAAAGAGATTGGAGGTTCTCTATCCTCGTGTCCTGGCCAACAATCCCCTGAATAAACTTGGTCACTCACTCCACGACTGTTTGTGGGACACTGCCGTGTGCAACTAACTATTGCACTTCGCCCCCCAAAAAATATACAGTCAATCCCCTTTACAATATATTCTGTGAAGCGCTTTGAGACGCCTCAAGGACGTGGTAAGGCGCTATATCAAATACAAGTATTTATTATTATGTTGGGTAGAAACATTCTTCAATTGAACCTTAATTTTGAAGCCAAATAAGCCTTGTTCCAGTGTCTACCTAGAAGGAAAAGAGTCTTGCCAAGGTTTTAATTTAACGTTAAACAAAAAGACCTCTTTACTCACAATCAGCTCTCCATAGGAGGACAGAAGTCCAGCCCCATATGCTTTCACTGTTCCATTTTGCTTGCAGAGACCAAACTCCACAGTAAACCAATACAGCTGCAATAGAAAGTGTCCACAGAGGAACTATCAGTCACTGGGATCAGGGATTCTTCCCACTAGGCTCCTTGCAAACCCAAGTGTTAATGGGGTGGTGTGTTCCTAGCTGGACAAGCAGCAGGAATGTTTGCCTGACAGTGCTCTCAATGGCAACCGATGTGGCTTTAGCTGGTGAGACTCCATTGCACGATCTGCACCAAAATTCTTAGCTCTTGCCAACCTGCACTAAGTACTCTCTAGAATTAGGAAAACAGGATGCAACCTCACCACAGTTTAGTGCTCTGAGATGGTATCCTGTGTGACGGGTGCTGTATAAATACACAATAAATATACTATACAGTGAATGATGTGAAGCGCTTTGAGATGTCCTCCCAACATGAAAGGCGATGTGTGAAATGTAAGCATTATTATTACTAAGACCGATCTCTCCGCTGTTTATACTGGGAAATCTGGGATTTGAACCCGTGTCAATCGGGTGGATATAGACACTGCTCACTAGGCCGTAAGTGTAAACTCAGAGCAAATCAGTTCACAGTCAGAAGAGAACAGATGGAGGGAGGCATTGAGGATAGAGAAACTTACTGTAGAAAGCTTTTCAATTTCCTCGTCCGTGGCGCCTAAGGAGGCAAGTCCAATGTTCTGCAACAACAAGAAGAGTCGGGATTAAAATGAAACAAATAAAAAAATCTTAAGAATCTGCTTTTTTTTCCTTTGAAAATCGCATGATGAGTTACTTTACTGTGTAGTGACTGTGTAGCGACTGTGTCAGCTAATCACCGTCAGCCTCCTGCGGTGTCCATCCGAATGAACAAACAAACAGGCAGACAGGACCTCGATTTAAGGTCTCCCCCCCCACCACCCTTCTCCACTCCATCTCTGAGCAATCCAGCCAGCGCTCCCCCATCACTGCACTGGAGCGTCAGCCCTGATTAGGAGCTCGATGTCCTGTTGCGTGGCTCGAATCCCCAGCTTTCTGGCTCAGAGGCGAGAGCGCTGCCAACTGAGTCCATGGCAGTCATAAAATCAAATTGGTCTGAATAAAGGAAAAGTCCCAGTGCCTGGGTTCTCCTGCTGGTGTGATTCTTTTCCCCCCCAATGAACGAGCCGGGGGTGGGGGTGGGGCGCGGGGAGGCATTAGGACGGTGAGAAAAAGGTTGCGTTTCACTACCTGGGAGAATTGTGCGAAAGTTCTGTCAGCCAGAATGGGCACGTGTCCGAGCAGCTCGTGGCAACAATCCCTAAACACAGAGCGAACACATAAAGCAATGACTGTAAGGAAGGCTTTCCCGGCATTCCCATGTTTAAAGGGGAGGTTCGTTCTCCTTAATTGGTACAATAATCGGTCAAAGAAAGCGTTGGTATTACTATCATTCAGTAATAATGATCTCTGCGTTTACTGCAAATGCCTTTACCCCTGAAAGCGCTTCCCAGCGAATGTACAGCGAGGGTGGAGGGCAGTGAGGGGAAGGAGGGTGACCGAAGGCAGGGTCGAAGAGGAAGGTCTCGAGGCGGGTCTTGAAGGAGGCAAGGGAGGGGTGCGAGGTGGAGGGACTGCGGGATGGAGTTCCAGAGGGTGGGGGCAGAGTGGCTGGAGGTCCGTCCGCCAATGGTGGGGCGGGCGAGGCAAGGGCCGTGAAGCAGGCCAGAGCCCACTGAGGGTGGGGTTGGCAGGGGGTTAGGAGGTCGCAGAGGTAGGCTGGAGCAAGGCCATGGAGGACTATGAAAGTGAGGACCAGGATCTTGAACTGTATCCTCTGTGTGATGGGAAACCAGTGAGTCTGGCGAGGATGGAGGGATCTTTGACGCCCATAACAGAGGACAACACCTCAGTTATAATAATAATAACCATAATAATCATAATAATAATCTTTCCACTTGATATAGTGGAGTCCCGTAACTCAGTGGTTAGAGCACTCGCCTCGCAAGCGAGAGACCTGGGTTCGAGTCCCGGCAGGGCGAAGTGTTGTGCCAGTTTCCTTGCTCCACACGCCTCTGTTTATCCAGCAGTAAGTAGGAACCTGGATGTTAGTTGATTGGCGGATTGCTTTCCGGAGGTAATAATTCTTTAAAAAAACAATAAATTGGTCACTCAATCCACGACCGTTGTGCCCAATTGGCTGCCGCATTTCGTCCAGAAAATATACTTTATAGTGTATTTTGTGAAGCGCTTTGAGACGTGATAAGGCACTATATCAAATCAAGGATTATTATTAGTATTATTATTATTATCATTTCGTTGAGGTGTCTCAAAGGGCTTCATAGGATTTTACTGTGAAGTGTGGTGACTGTATATTGTGGGCAAACTGCGGCAGCCAATTTGCACGTAGCGAGGTCCCACAAACAGCAATGAAGCAAATGACCAAATTTTTTATCTGGGGAATTCTTGGCCAGGACATCGGGAGAGAGAAACTCCTCCATTTGAACAGCGCCAGGGGAGGGTGGAAAAGCGGACTTGTTCCTGACCCACACAGTTAACCTTCCCTCAAGTCAAACCGACCAGTTCCTGGATTTGAACTTTCCAGAACCTTTTACGTGTACTTACGGTTCTGGAGAGTGCATCGGGGCGGAAGCATGTCGGACGTACTGCGTGCATTGGAAAACCCGGAACGCCAGGCTGGCGAGGAAATCCCGAGCCGATAGGAGCCCGGCCACCGGCCACAGCTGGAACCCGGAATGTTCTGAGCCGGAGACACAGAGAGAGGGTGTTACACAGCGACCCAACACCTCACCCAACAGCAACAATAACTTACACGTCGGGAGAATGTCCTAAGGCGCTGGACAGTTTGGGATCGGGAGGGGTGGAGGGCAGAAAGGGTGGGGGTAGGGGGGTGACCAAAGGCGCTGTCAAAGAGGAGGATCTTGAGAAGGGGCTTGAAGGAGGCAAGGGAGGGAGCGACGAGAAGGGAATGTGGGATGGAATTCCAAAAGGTGGGGGCAGACAGCCTGAAGGCCCGACTCCCAACGGTGGGGTGCGCCAGGCGGGGGATGCGGAGCAGGTCAGAGCCCACTGAGCAACAAGTTATTGGACAACCATGCCAATAACACACACTTTTAATGAAGCCTTCACAGAGATGATCGCCGAGCAAGATCGGAGTTGACCAGTGGCAGGGTCCCAGAGATTGGTTCATAAGAGAGGAGGGAGAGGGGTGGAGTGAAAGGATGGATTTTTGGAAAGAGTTTGAGCCAGTGGGTGGGGGGCTTGTGACTGTGGACAGAGTGGGGTGGGAGGGTGGGGTGAGTGGGGATCTAGTGAACCAGTGCGGAGGAGTAGTCGGATAATTCTTCTTTCTGCCTAATTACTTGCAATTTCCCAAAAGGACTCAAGGAGATAAAACATGGCGGATTGCTTTCCTGGAATCCACAATTGGCTTATAACAACAATAACAACAACAACAACAAAAGGGCCAGACGGGAGACAAGAAGACATTTTTTTACCAATGAATTGTTACGATCTAGAACGCATTACCTGAAAGGGTGGTGGAAACAGAATTGCTGACAGCTTTCCAAGGGGAATTGGATAGGTCCCTGAAAAGGAAACATTTGCAGGGCTATGGGGTAAGAGCGGGGGAGTGGGACTAGTTGGGTGGTTCTTTCAAAAGAGCAGACACAGGCACAATGGACCGAATGGTCTCCTTCTGTGCTGTAAGATTCTCTGATACTATGAACAACAACAACAAGAACAAGTCCGAACCTTTCAGGAAGGAGGAGATAGCCTGTAGCTGGGGGATGGTGTTCTCGCTGTAGCCACAGTGTCTCTCCAGCAGCCTGAAGGCCTCCACGTGTTCACTGCAGGCATGGGTCGGGTACAGGCTCTTCAGAGTTGTGTACACTTCTCTCCTGTTGGGGCAGCAGTGGATCAGCGGGTCACTGGCTAACGCAGCTCAGTCCCGGCCACGAGTCGCCAGAGGTGTAACGGTTTGGGACGTTCCTCTTGCGTTATGCGTTACCGACGACTCTCTATACGGGTCTACACACTGACCCATCGCCATCGCTCTCGGGTCGTCAATGTTCTTTTGGTTACCAGGAGGTTCTGCGCAACTTGCGCCGTTCACTTCACACGGGCGCGCGGAGGAGTTCGGCCGGTACCGAAATAACCGTGGCAGGGGCGAGCGGGAGGAGCCTGTTCAGCCACAACGGCAGAGAAGAGGCTGCAATGGACCCGTGAACCACCCGGACACTCACGCATTGCAGGCGGACGATTTCAGCGCGCTGCGTCGCAGACACAGAACGGGACGCGAAGATTTTATAATAATAAATAATAATCCTTGCATTTGATATAGCACCTTATCACGTCTTCGAGGCGCCTTAAAGCGCTTCGCGGAATATACGGTAAAGTGTATTTTGTGGACGAAACGTGGCAGCCGTCTGCGCATAGCACTGTCCCGCAAATAGTCGCAGATTGAGTGACCAAATTATTATTAGTTTTGAGCGCAAAGCGAAGAAACGTGCGGGAAAACTAACCAGGTGCCGATCTCCTCTGCCGTATATTCCACTCTGGGGATTGGCTGACCACTGTAAAGGCAAACAGCTTTTGAAGTACATGTTAAGCCACGTGAGAGCTTCGAGACACTACACTGACCGGTAACGGATACTATTAAGCATGGCGATGGGTTTCTGCATGGGTCGGATACCGGACTGACCGTCGAAAGAAAATCAGACCATTAAAAAAAAAGCACCGTAAAGCCTTCAGAGTGACATTGGAACATAGACAACACAGACACACAGACACAGTGTTGGCTTACTATCGGTAGGTCAATGCAATTTCTGAAATTTGTCTTCGACGCTCCCTGTATTCAGTGTCAGCGAAACCCTGCGGTAAAACATTTGAAATTAATTGTTGACAGATCGCCTGTAAGCGTATACACTCCACGATGTGACAACTCCCCTCCTCACAATCTCCCTTAAATGGTTTTATTTGCCTATAAATACACAGTCCGTACACTTTACAGTAAATGCTCTCGCCTCGCAAGCGAGAGGACCCGGGTTCAATTCCCGGGCAGTGTGAAACCTTAGGCAAGACTCCTTACTCCATACGCTTCTGTTTACCTAGTAGTAAGTAGGAACCCGGTTGTTAGCAGATTGGTAGATCGCTTTCCGGGTGTAATAATCCCTCCAAACCAAAGTTTAGTCAATTCATTAAATCCACGACTGTTTGTGGGACACTGCTGTGCACAATTGGTTGCCGTGTTTTGCCCACAAAATGCACAAAATTTACAGTCAATTCACTTTACAATATATCCTGTGAAGAGCTTTGAAATGTTTCAAAGACATGATAAGGCTCTAAATCACATGCTAGGATTATTATTATTGTTATTATTTATAGCCGTACCAAAGTGAACTGTTTTGAGCTTTAGAATTGGTGGCTTTATTACAGTGTCCCCAGCTCCGCTCGATGGTTGTTTCTTACTTTTTCAGCTCACGAACTGTGACGCCGCGGGAAGCACATAGAAAGCCGAAATAATCTTAAATTCGGAGCTAGACCAATTCACAGGACACCGAGGACACCAAGACTGCACTGGTAGGCAAAAGCAGCAACTACGTTGCGTACAGCGACATCCCACAAACAACCACGACGTGAATAACTAACTTTATTATACATAGATACTGCACACCCTCGATTCATTAAACTGTACTTTAATTCGGCATTTTGTTCTCTACCATCAATTCGGTAAATATGCCTCCCCTTTATTTCAATCGTGTATATCATACCATTACTTCAGTCGCTTATACTTCCCTTTTGATTCTGTGGACCACACTAATGATTCTTTATTTCTGTAAGAAACTGAGTTTACCGGATGGTCAAGATCCAGATCTGGGTCGTATTTGGTAACTAGCTGGTGGCATCTATCCAAGTCGGAAATCTTCTTTGGAAACCAATGAACTGGAGATGGGAGAGAAACAAGGAATCTTAGTTATTATTCCTTCGTGGAGGAATATTCCCATTCCTATTTGGAGGAATGTTATTTGCTGGGACTTGCCAGTGCATCGGTGAGATTGGTGCCAAGGGCAAAACACAGCCAAACCGATTTACTGGGTTTTTGTGGGGGTTGCCTGCAGTCAGGCAACCTCTCGGAGGGATTGTTTTCGAAGCAACTGAACCACAAAAGGGAACGAATAGAGGCAATCCTTGGGAGAAAAGCGCTGGGGAAAGGGATCAGAGTAGAGAAAGGGATTAGAGCATCCCTCCTTTAAGGGGAGCGAGCACCAGCACACATCTGACAGAAGGAAAAGAGCAGGGGAATGGGATTAGAGAACTGCAGAGCGGGAGCAAGCACCAACATGGATACAATGGGGAGGACGGGATTAGAATGGATGACTTTGGGTGGGACGGATGGACTGTTACCATGTTGTAGCATTGTGTATCATTCTATGTGAAACCAGGAAAAGCAGGAGACGGCAGACACTTACACTTCTGTTCTTTAGTTGTCTTCACTTCCCCGGCCACTCTTCTCAGAGAGCTCACCAAGGTGCTGAGATCAGAACTGTTTGTTTCGCAGCGGATGAAGAACTCTAACACTTCCAGGTTATCTTTGTGTTTCCGCGAGGGTCTGGTTTCAATGTGGTGCATCTTGGCCTCGAAGGTCTGAGGGCAGAACAGAACGGAGGGACCGCAGACGATTAAAAATCCAGAGGATGCTGCGATTAATCGTGGATTGCCATAGCGTTGTGGTTAGCACACTCGCCTCGCAAGCGAGAGGACCCGGGTTCAATTCCCAGGCGTGGTGAAACCTTAAGCTAGTATCCTTACTCCACACGCCTCTGGTTACCTAACAGTAAGTAGGAACCCAGTTGTAAATTGATCAGCAGATAGCTTTTGCGGGGTTAATAAACCTTTCAAAATGATTTTTTTGAAAAATGATAATAATCTGTGGGACACTGCTACGCACAATTGGCTGCTACGTTTCACCCACAAACCCCAATTCACTTTACAGTATATTCTGTGAAGCGCTTTGAGACGCTTCGAAGATGTGACGAGGCGCTACATCAAATGCAAGGAGTACTATTATTTACACATTTAGAAAGTGTCCCTTCACACAGGGTAGCGTCGCCAAGCGCTGAAATATGGTGACATTGTGGAAGTTCAGTGGAGCGATGGATCTCAAACGTTCACGAAAGGCGTCCTTGGGTGGGTACCGTGCAATCCATCAACACACCTCTCACCCCATTAAAAAAACACAACCTGTTAATTTGACACACTTAATAACACTCGTGCTACGTCACATCTCGATTCAATTTCGGAGCACTTCTTATTCAGCCTCGCACCCTTTCTCACTAAAACGTCTTGTTCAATCAATTTATCTGAGTAAAAAAAAAGTCCTGACATTCCAGATTAAATTATCCCTGTTCCGTGATTACAGCAGAGCAGGCTATTACAGCAGGTTCCTAGCTATTACCCCCAAGGCTGTGTTTTAACATACAGATCCAATTATTACCTGAATCTGGTTTGAAGAATTTATTTGTTTGGCCAGAAGGTAGCTTGAAATGAATGCCTTGAAATAATTACCTTAAAACCAGACATTTGCTCTTCCGCATCACTCAGGCGGAACAGCAAATGTCTGGTTTTAAGGTAATTATTCCTGTTGGATACTTTGTGTTATTGTCAGTGCCTGAGCACCTGTTCAGTTGTGTAGATGTGCAAATGATAAGGGCACGATTGCAAACTATTGCTAGAAATTCTGAGAGGGGCTGTCACTGTGCGCGGCTGAGAGAGAGTGAGAGGGGGGCTGGCACTGTGTGAGGCTGAGAGAGAGTGAGAGAGGGGGGCTGGCACTGTGTGAGGCTGAGAGAGAGTGAGAGGGGGGCTGGCACTGTGTGAGGCTGAGAGAGAGTGAGAGAGGGGGCTGGCACTGTGTGAGGCTGAGAGAGAGTGAGAGGGGCGCTAGCACTGTGTGAGGCTGAGAGAGAGTGAGAGGGGCGCTGGCACTGTGTGAGGCTGAGAGAGAGTGAGAGGGGCGCTGGCACTGTGTGAGGCTGAGAGAGAGTGAGAGGGGGGCTGGCACTGTGTGAGGCTGAGAGAGAGTGAGAGGGGCGCTGGCACTGTGTGAGGCTGAGAGAGAGTGAGAGGGGCGCTGGCACTGTGTGAGGCTGAGAGAGAGTGAGAGGGGGGCTGGCACTGTGTGAGGCTGAGAGAGAGTGAGAGGGGCGCTGGCACTGTGTGGCTGAGAGAGAGTGAGAGGGGCGCTGGCACTGTGTGAGGCTGAGAGAGAGTGAGAGAGGGGGGCTGGCACTGTGAGGCTGAGAGAGAGTGAGAGAGGGGGGCTGGCACTGTGTGAGGCTGAGAGAGAGTGAGAGGGGGGCTGGCACTGTGCGCGGCTGAGAGAGAGTGAGAGAGGGGCTGGCACTGTGCGCGGCTGAGAGAGTGAGAGGGGGCTGGCACTGTGTGAGGCTGAGAGAGAGTGAGAGAGAGGGGCTGGCACTGTGTGAGGCTGAGAGAGAGTGAGAGAGGGGGCTGGCACTGTGTGAGGCTGAGAGAGAGTGAGAGAGAGGGGCTGGCACTGTGCGCGGCTGATAGAGAGTGAGAGAGGGGCTGGCACTGTGCGCGGCTGATAGAGAGTGAGAGGGGGGCTGGCACTGTGCGCAGCTGATAGAGAGTGAGAGAGAGGGGCTGGCACTGTGAGGCTGAGAGAGAGTGAGAGAGGGGGGCTGGCACTGTGAGGCTGAGAGAGAGAGGGGGGCTGGCACTGTGTGAGGCTGATAGAGAGTGAGAGAGAGGGGCTGGCACTGTGAGGCTGAGAGAGAGTGAGAGGGGGGCTGGCACTGTGAGGCTGATAGAGAGTGAGAGAGAGGGGCTGGCACTGTGAGGCTGATAGAGAGTGAGAGAGGGGGGCTGGCACTGTGAGGCTGAGAAAGAGTGAGAGAGGGGGGCTGGCACTGTGAGGCTGAGAGAGAGTGAGAGGGGGGCTGGCACTGTGCGCGGCTGAGAGAGAGTGAGAGAGAGGGGCTGGCACTGTGAGGCTGATAGAGAGTGAGAGAGAGGGGCTGGCACTGCGCGGCTGAGAAAGAGTGAGAGAGGGGCTGGCACTGTGCGTGGCTGATAGAGAGTGAGAGAGGGGCTGGCACTGTGCGCGGCTGAGAGAGAGTGAGAGAGAGGGGCTGGCACTGTGAGGCTGAGAGAGAGTGAGAGGGGGGCTGGCACTGTGCGCGGCTGAGAGAGAGTGAGAGGGGGGCTGGCACTGTGAGGCTGAGAGAGAGTGAGAGGGGGGCTGGCACTGCGCGGCTGAGAGAGAGTGAGAGAGGGGCTGGCACTGTGCGCGGCTGAGAGAGAGTGAGAGGGGGGCTGGCACTGTGAGGCTGAGAGAGAGTGAGAGAGAGGGGCTGGCACTGTGCGCGGCTGAGAGAGAGTGAGAGCGGGTGGGGGGGGCTGGCATTGTGTAAGGCTGAAGGTCCTTGGTGATCAGGGTGTGTCCTTGTGGGGGTAGACATGCAGGAGAGGGTGGGGTAGGAGAGAGAAGAGAGTAGACACTCCATCTCAGGCAAAAGGAAATAAAATACCATACAAAGGCGGATGTAAATTACTCAATTCTGTAACAGAAGTTTGCAATAATGAAACCCACCAAAATTTCTGAGCAAATAAATTGTGGTGTACAAACGTGGCACATTTTTAGTGGTCTTTACAGTGGTTTGAATATTTTGGGAAAGGGGATAAAGAGGTGTTTTTAGCTCTCGGGTTGATCAGTGTCATTTTCATTCATGTATCCCATAGCGTAGCGTTTAGAGCACTCGCCTCGCAAGCGAGAGAACCCGGGTTCAATTCCCGGGCCGGGTGAAACCTTAGGCAAGTTTCCTTACTCCAACACGCCTCTGTTTACCCAGCGGTAAGTAGGAGCCTGGTTGTTGATCGATTGGCGGATCGCTTTCCGGGGGTAACAATCCCTCCAATCATAAAAACAAATTCACTGGTCGCTGAATCCATGACTGCGGGACGCTGCTGTGCGCAATTGCCTATTGCATACAAAATATACAGTCAATTCACTTTAAAGTATATTCTCTGAAGTGCTTTTAGACGTCTCAACGACGTGATAAGGCGCTGTATCAAACGCAAGGATTATTATTATTATTCCCACACTTGTCAATTTCATCCCCAAGCGCAGATGGATGTTTGACAAGCTGTTTTACCTCGAAGACTTTGAGGGTGCGGGACAGGGATGAGTTTTTGGCATTGCAGAGCGTGAAGAACAGGTTGACGATAGCTCTACCGTCCTCCTCCTCGAACACCAGCTGGTCCCCGGCGTCGCCTGCCTCCGCGGCTGCCACAGCCGCTTCCCGGTCCTTACGGGCATCTTCAATCAACGACTGTCTGCGTCCAATAAACCGGGGGGACTGAGGACCACACAGCAAAGGAGTTAGGTGTCACAGCAATGCATTAGATGGATAGACTTGGACCAGATGGGCTGAGAGCAGTGTTTACTTTACAGTATATTCTGTGAAGTGCTTTGAGACGTCTCGAAGACGTGATAAGGCGCTATATCAAATGCAAGGATTATTATTATTATTATTACTATTATTACAGTTATCCCAATCTGCTCCTATGTTATTCATTTGCTTAGTTTCGTACACAAACTATAGAGTCAATTTGCTTTATATTCGTAGCATATTCTGTGACGCACTTTGAGACTCTTAAAGACGTGATAAGGCTCTACATCAAATGAAATGATTATTATTATTACTAAATTGCTTCTAACATGGAATAAATTCACCTACAAAATACACAGTCAATCCACTTGATAATACATTGCGTGAAGCGTTTTGAAACGTCTCAGTGATGTGATAAGGCGCTATATCATTATTATTATTGTAATAAATTGTAAGTAACCGCTTAGAGCATCCTGTTGTGCCTCTCTAATGTTCAACGAAACAACTGGATCTAGCCGCAGATAAGAGCATGCTCAATAAATAACACAGGATAAAGAGAGACGGACAAACAGCACAGCATGAGTTGTATTCACTGTGTTAAAGCTTTGCTGGACACCACAGGAGCCCCGTGAAGAGTGTGAGAAACAATGGAGAGAAGCTTATGCGAGATTAGAGTTGATTTTGTTACAGAACCATTATTCAAACCTAAATGCACACACACCATTGTGCAAAACATATCTATCGATTCCGAGTATTGTCCCTGGACACTGGTAATAAGCGTTCCGAGCCACTGTGCTTACAATACTGGAAAATCAACCGCTATCCGTTCCTTGTTACAGGTTATTAGGTTAACAGGTAAGGTGATCCACACTGGACAAGCAGCGGGAAAGCTTGCCAGACAGTGCTATCAATGCCAAGCTGTGTGGTTTTAGCTGGTTAGACTCCAGGGATTACCCTAAAGTATACTCTGGGAGTCCCAAGTCCTGGCTCTTGCCAACCTGCGTCTAATACTTTCCGAAATTGGGTAAATAGGATGCATGTGTCAGACACCCGGCCGACAAAATATTACAGGTTATCAGAGACTTTGAGGCTGAGTTGCTCGAAGCAACGGGAAGCAAAAATCTTTTACAGTCTCCCAGCCCAAAAAATCTGACCTCCAGTACCTGTTAGCCTAATAAAATCACTCAAAACTCAGCCAACAGATAAATCAGAGAACCTTTAAGACTTTTTGAAATTTGCAATGATTTAATTTGGCATTGAGTTAAACCCTAAACCGCAAAATACACAGTCTATCCCACTTAACAGTATACGCTACGAAGCGCTCTGAGAAGTCTCAACGACGTGACAAGGCGCTATATCAAATGCAAGGATTATATTAGATTAGATTATTATACAAGATACCGCGGGCACACACACGCACACACACGCACACCTCTGCACTTCAGAGAGCAATAACTTGCAAGATCAGGCGACACTTGACACGCATTGAGCTTGGGATGGGTTCTAATGCGGTTTAAAAGGTAGTGGTGTGGAGACAGGAGAAGCTCAGGAACACAGAAGGGGGAGAGAAAGGGAGAGTGGATGGTGGTGGTGGGGGGGGGGAATGAGGATGAATTGTCTTGTTCTTTTTTTTAAAAAAGATAGTCCTGTTGCAAATGGAACACAGGAATGCAGGGACAACTGGCACCTCACCGTCACAGCCTCTGCTTGCTTGGAATCCAGTTCAGACACTGTCCTGCGGAATCCTTTGGTTGTAGGTGACTTGGTGGATGGCATCATTGAGTTCTCCCAGAGTGAGGAGGGAGGGAGAGAGAGATAGAGAGAGGGAGAGGGAGGGATGGAGGAAGGGGTGTGTGTGTGTGTGTGTTGAGAGAGAAACAGCAATAAATTGCTTAAACCAACAACTGAACTCCTGAGCTGAGCCTGTGGTCCTTTCCTATATATAGGGAACAGGGCTGAGCTGTTTGCTACGTCAACAGCATTGATGTACTGAGCAAAGCAGCGACTTATCTCTCTCTCTCTCTATTTGACTGGGACCCTTTCCATATTCCAACACCTTCCTTCTAAGTCCTCCCGCCCCCCACCTCTCCCCAAAAATACTAATAAACTCGTTGAGGGGTGTTTGCAAAGTTTTTTTTGTTTGCCTTGTGTATGTACTGTATATAAAACAGCATTCCCTGCATGTGCAATTTACTGCATATATATATATAGAGAGAGATTGTACATGCTTATATATGTGCAATCTATAATATATATCAGTATATATCATTTATTGCATTTTAATTAGATAAATATGCAATCCATATACATGTCATTTATTATAAAATATGTATATTTTATTTTATAGATGTTATATATAATAATAAAAAACATATTTTATATTGTATATGTGCATATATATCTGTAAAATTGCAATCTATAATACATTGCATATATATTGATCGATATCTATTTAAATCAGAGGCACTGTAAAACTCGGGAATAATCTCTCTAAGAATCTCAGGGTTACGTGACTATTGAGGCAATGTCTGGTTGTGTGTGTTGTTTTGGGAGCAGTATAAATTGGCAGCAACGATAAGAGATCGTCTTACTAACATTTCTAGTAAAAGGCGAGAGTGGATAAGCGTTAACTGGATTACTGGACCCTAGTTTATCGCTGCTGGGCAAAGACCGACCTAAGAATGGGTTGTTAAAAGAGTGAAATCTCTTGTAAATCTCTTAAAGTTTCCAAAGCGAATTAACCAGTAGCACACACACAACAACACAACTTTGTCAAATCTGCCAATTAAAGCACGATGCTTTCGACTCTCCCTTCAATCTCTCTTTAAAGCAAACTTATAACGATAACAAAATAGTAATAGTAATCCTTGCATTTGATATAGCGCCTTATCAAGCTGTTGAGACGTCTCGAAGCGCTTCACTGAATATAATGTAAAGTGGAGTGACTGTGTAATTTTGCAGGCACAACTCAAGGGACTGTTTACCTGGAAGTGTACAGGGAGGAACATTTAGCAAGGGAAATTTCGATCCCAACCCCTCTCTCCCTTCGCAATTGATCCACCAATCTGGCTCATTCTGTTACACTCTTGCCCCTGATTCAGATAGTTGTGGGTTCGAGCCCCACAGCAGGACTTTGAGTTCAGTGCTGGGGGGTGGGGGGGAGGGGGGATTCACTGTCCTGTCAGAGACGCTGTCCTTTCCACATGGGATGTTAAAGATCCCAAAGCACTATTCGAAAAGAGAAGGGAATTTCTCTTTCCTGGTGTCCTGGCCAACAATCTCCTCAAATAAAATTGGTCATTTACCTCCCGGTTGATTTGTGGGACATTGTTGTGAGCAAACAAGCTGCCGTGATCGCCAACAAGCACACAGTTGGACCTGTTATTTTGTTGGTGGAAAGTATTAAGATTCTTACGGAATATCCTGACATTGCAGCTTTAAACCTGCATTTCACTTAGTTCCATGGCTCAAGGTGGTTACTGAAGTGGACATTAGCCTCAGCCGTACATGCACACAACACAAAGAGAATACGATGCTTAAAAAAAGTCTCACTGGAAATAAATAAGCAACGTGCTTTGGCTTTGAGGCATAGGAGATCTAGTGCTGTAATTGTTCCAGCTCAGCCTTGGTAATAACAGTCATCTAATGATACTGGTGTTTGCTCCAATTTGGAAGATCCCCCCCCCAGCATCTCCCAACACCCCCCACCCCCGCACACACACACATCCTCAAACACCAACGTTAAAAGCCGCAAATTATTTCTTAATAACGGGTAATTTTATCTCCTGCTATACTATACATTGTGATATGAATTAATGATCATCGCTCCTCCCCCCAGCCCCCATACACCCTCTACCCCAACCCCCCCGCTCCCCCCTCCACATACGCGCGCACACACATAAAAAGACTGAAGGTCCTGTATATGTTTGGGAGTTCAAATAGGATTTGGAAATGCCCAATCTATCTCTCATACCCCTGAATCCATCCATCTCAGACATTATCCAACGGGAAGGATGCCATATAAATGCAAATTGTCATTGTTGGTTGTTGTAGCATAAATCTTTAAGGTGTCACATGAGCATATAAAAGTTTTCTGATAAGAAATTCAAGATAAGAATTTATTGAACAGCAGGCAGAGAAAGATCTAATGTGCTAACATCTTAATATAAATAATGTTGCACGTATTATTTTCTTAAATGGCACTATTTCAGTTGCACTAAAGTATTCACTATACTATAACCTTCAAAAATATTTACTTAGTCCGGTCCAATGGCTTTAAATCATGTTATACATAATATACATACAAATATGTTCCATGCACCTGTTTAGAATTGACACTAAATAAAAACTGATAAACCTCAATTCTTAACGACTTTGTGTCATGATTTCTTGGGTTCAAAAAAGGGTTTATCAAAACCAGTTGTTTTTCCTTCTCCTCCTCCACCCATCACCACCCCGCCTCACAGACACAAATAATCAAATGCATTTGGCTGCCGCGTTTCACTCACAAATACAGTCAATCCACTTTACATTCGGTGAAGCGCTCTAAGACGTCTCAACAACGTGATAAGGGGCTATGTCAAACTTTTTTGGATTATTATTATTATTATCTAATCAAAAAAAACACAAGATGACTGATCAAGAAAAGGTTATTCTGGGACTGAAATAATATTCTGCAAAAGAGGCAGAAATGTCATATCGACGTTGACGCACAGAGAGATCAAAAAAAAAATTCCAATGCCTTTTCGTGTCCTGATCGATCCAGTGCTACTTAAATATAATTGTTCGCTCCCTCCCCAAAAGAGAAAGGTTTCCAAACGACTGATGTCTAATAGCACCATTAAACAGAGGGATCTGGGCAGACAAAAAGCTGTTTGACCACCTTACATGAGTCAGAAGGTCCGTACACAAAAAGATAACAAGTATTTTGCACACACATCGCCCTAAGTACCCTTTGCAATTTGTCAGTTTTGACAAATTATATGTGTAGGGCAAGGCAATAAAGTATGCTTTGGCTCCATTACTCATTCAGTTGGTAAGCGGGAGAGCAGAGGACAACAGCTGTATTTTGACAGACTTTGTGGGGATTTCAGATCAAAAAATAAAAGCCCCGGTGAATGGAGCCAAGCTTTACTGCAGAGAATCCACACAATCTGGCGAAATAGTTTGGAGACTGCGAAAGGCACAGCAAGAATTAGGAGAGGCCAAGAGAAACCAGGTCAAAACAAAACGGAATGGATATTATTTGCGATATTAGATTTGACGTTTGTCCACAAGGCATAGTCACAGTGTACCCTCACACACATCTACAAATCCCTTCATGCCCTAGCAGCTCCCTACCTCTCCAAACTGCTTATTCCCCACACTATCACCGGTAGCCTCCGCTCGACAGGCTCCGGTCTCCTGCAAGTCCCTCGTGTCCTCCTCCTTTCCACCATCGTACTTTCTGCCACTGCGCCCTAAATTATGGAACTCTCTCTTTCAATCCCTCCGCCTTACCTTCTGCTTCAGATTATGCCTTAAAACCTTCCTCTCCTCTTTGACCGTGCCTATGGACACCTCCCCACTTCCCTCAGCTCGGTGTCAGGCTCTGCCACTGCTAAGCGCTCCAAGATGCAAGATGCTCCAAGTTATTAGCTGGAGTTAGATTAGAAGATCAGCCACGATTGAATGGCGAGGCAAGCTCGAAGGGCCAAATGGCTACTCCTGCTCCAACACGTTATGTTATGTTATGCTACTTTGTGTGAAGGGTGCTGTGTAAATGCAAATTGCTGTCGTTGAGACATCCTCCTAATGTGTAAGGATTACTATTAGCATTATTTCGTGTCGGGAGGACGTCTCAAAGCCCTTCACAGGATTCACTGTAAAGTGCACCAACTGTGTTTTGCAGAAGAACGATGGACATTGTTCTGTTGTGTTATTGCGTGACAAGAGGTGAAAGCCCTTTCCTCTGTTTACGAACAGTGCCTTCGAAATGAAGACGGTTTTTAAGAACGTTCCGCACAATTCGGCACCATCTTAAGTCTCAAGACAAAACCGTCTCACAGGGTAAGACTGCATGGAATTTCAGGCCTCTGGGTTCCACGGAACCTCGATCTAAGTAGTTGGTCAACTCTTCCCCAAAGAGCACAAAGAGAACAAGCAGCCACTTTAGTGTAAGAGGCACGTATGAAACGGCACAGAGGGGACAAAAGCACTCTTGTCTGCCTCATTGACAGCTAAACAACCCTTAAGCAGTTTCTGAAAACAAAAGTGGTGATGGGAAGATAGGATACATTGGCGCCTGCAACAGTTCGGCAGAGCTGCATAATTGCCCCAAATTGTTCCATTTGGCTGACGGAAGTCGCAAGCTGAGCGAGAGACGAGAAAGCAGATCATTTCACCTGCAATTGTCCAATTTCGAGAGAGAGAAAAGGGTGGACCGCATGACCACAGAAGAGGGTGTCGGTGGATTAATGCGAGCCCATCGCGCGAACCAAATCATAGGGTTTCAGCAATTACTTTCTCCGCGCAATGCAGTGCTACAGAATTATCCAGCTATTACTGCCGCGGTAATCAGTGATTTGCTCCTGCCACGCTTCCACAAGCAGGAGAGTAAAAACGCTCCCCCCACGGCAATACAACTGCGCCTTCGAAACCCACGGCATGAGTTATGTCCAACAGCACGGAGGAGATGGTTTGTTTTTGTCTTGGCTGCTCGCTGTGATTATTGTTCTCTTGCCAAAGGAAGCGTTGAACTCTGCTGTGCTGTGAAGAGGAATTGCTGTTGGTTTCAAGCAGTTTCAGAGTTTATGTGTGTGTGTGTGTGTGTGTGTGTGTGCGTGTGCGTG